GGTCAGGTTGAAAATTACAATATGTATTTATGTTTCTCTGTATGCTGTTGCCAGGCAACAGCAGATCGAGGGTATTTACAGTTAATAAAAAGTGAGTGACATTAGCTTGGTGTATTAGAGGTAAAGCACTCATTTGCTTTAAGAGCCGGGAAGAAAGACGAGCGTGTGTGTGTGTGTGTGTGTGTGTGTGTGTGTGTGTGTGTGTGTGTGTGTGTGTGTGTGTGTGTGTGTGCGCCTCCTTTGTGCACATTGTGTGTACATGCATAATAAGCGCTCACTGAGCCTCATCTTTTGTAGATATTTCGGTGCGTTTCTGCTCCCGTGTGTTTTGTGTGTGCTGAGAAAAGGCCTTTTGTTTTTTTGTGCTCTTACATCATTGTTAAAAAGAGCTTCCATGCTATTGTCTGGATGCACCGCGTGTGTGTGTGTGTGTGTGTGTGTGTGTTTGAATAAAATAGATGTTTACACCTATATTTATAGATGCAGCATGTTTGCGGTTTTGGGTTTTGTTTTTTGTGGGTTTTGTGTGTTGTTGTTGTTTTTGTTGTTGTTGTTGTTTTGAGAGCAATGGAGGCTGTTCATCAGCAAAAACATGCCCTGTGGGAAAAGCACTTTGTCATCATGTCCCCCCCTCCTCCGCCTTCAAAAGATCAAATCATGGTTTCCTTGTGCAGATCCTGCGTTTTCGAGCCCCTCCTGTCGTCCTTCTATCCGGTGTGTCGGTGTTCTATCTGCTGCCATTTGTTGTGCTGATGGTAAACACGTCAGCCGGCGTTAACGTCGCGTCTCTTCTTCTTTCTCGCAGGCTTTGAAAGCATCTTGGAAGGCTTGTTTGGGCCGGGACTAGTCAAAGATATCACTCTTTTCCAAGGTAAACAAACACACAAACAAACAAACAAACATGCATTTGCAAAAATCAATTGCACACAAACAAATCAACCACGATCGCAAAGCAAACACAGATGAACCAGATCTTTAGTTCCAAAACAGATTTGCAAAGTTATTTATAGTTAATTAAACAGCAGTGACTGGAAACTGAAGCAAACAGTAAATAAATCCACAACGAGGAGACGGTTCTGCTCATGAGATGGTTCTGATCTTGTTGTTCTGTGGATAAAATAAACACATACAGCAGATCTCCATTTAGCTCCGTGTTTATTCAGTGTGGGGGACAGTATAGATATTCAATGAAAATAGCAGAATGACAATGAGCCAGCCGGCATCTCCCCATCGATTTAAAGACATTCACTGCCGTGCCTACACAACTGTCGCAGCTGCAAAACTGCTTAGAATACAAAACAATATGTTTAATTCATACAATAGGCATCTTTAATTTATGCCAAACCCTGACAGATGTCACTGAGCGGAGCTGGAGGACGACGTAAACCTGCAGCTGAGCGTGGAGACGGTGTGGTGGTCTGGGCGAGCTAACGGCTAAACAAACACAATGCTAAGACAGCATTCATAGTCAAAGCATGACCAACAGAAACTGGCCTCCAGTATAACCAGTCCGTCTGCCGTTGTCTTCCTCAGCATCAGCTCGTGGCACAACACCGTTCGCTCGCTGTTTCTGTTTTTCAAGCCTTAAAAAAAAATTTGTTTAAAGGAGCTGCAATCATTCCTTTTGTTCATAACGGCCATTAAAATGCCTCCCAACGCGTTCCCGGTGGACGTAATCATGAATGGATTGTATTCAAGTGTTTACGTGGTGTTAATCTGGGACCTCGGCTCTCTGATCAAACAGACTCATAGTCAACGGAGTCAAACATTCTGTCTTTGTGTGGCCACAGAGCTGCTGCTGATGGTGATACGAAAGCAAAAGTTTGGTGCTAAAGAGTCACAGAAGCCTCACTTCAACCGGCATAAAGTTAAAAATGTGCTTTTAAACTCTAGTACGGAGCAGTGAAAAATTAAAGAATAATAAAATAAAAGTGGAATGAAAAAGAAGAATAAATAAAAATAAAAAATAAATAATGTGTCGATATAAAGCGATATTAATCAGAAAGGAATCCATAAAAGAAAAGTCTAGTAAAAGTAGAAATAAAGGCAAATAAATGTATTTATTCATTTATTTATTAGCTTTTAAAGCGACATTCTAAAAAATAAAATAAAAATGAAACAAATAATATAAATATATATATATTAAAAATAATAAATAAGAAGTTAAAAAAAAAAGAATAAGTAAATCATTTACACTCATGTTCAAAGAAAGGTCGAATTTCAAAGAAAATAATAAAAAAAATTTTACCCTTTTTTAAAAAAAAAATAAAAATTCACATCACCAATAGAAATAAGAACAAAAGACGTGTATTAACAGTTGAAGTTGCTGCACTCGGATCCACTGGGTGTCACATTAGAACGACAGCATCTCAGATCAGTAGGTTTGTAAAGATGGTTGGATTCAAGGATTCATGATTGGTCACAAACACACAGTTGTAGACGGTGTAACGCACATGAAACGCTTTGTGTACCTGTTCCACTCTGAAACAATATGAAGAGGATGAATAAAAATAAAGAATTAACACACAAGAAATAAATATATATATATGTATAGGGACAGAGAGAGAAGGGGATAAAAAAATAAGCAAGAACAAATAAATCAATCTACGCTAATGTTCCACTCAATCATCACAGAGCAAATACAGTCGTCCTCATATGTATTCACAGCCTCCCATTAAAGAAAGAAATCAAACCAGCCGTCACTGAATTAAGTAGAAACTGACAAAAGCAATAATAAATAAAAATTTAATGAACATCATGACGTTGTTTTGAATTGTGGTTCAACAGAAATTTTAAAAAAAACCCCAAAAAAACACAAAAGCAAACCAGCCTGATGGGACCCGTGAACTAACATGTAGCTGAACAACCCTCTGAGCCAATCACTGCCATCAGGTGTTTCCTGTAACTCTCAGTCAGACTTCTGCACCTGTTGACAGGTGTTCTGGACCACTGCTCACCTGCTCATCAGCAAAGGCCTCTCATTGGTCAGTTTTGTTTGTTTTTAAAAATTATTCTTTTCAACCACAATTCAAAAGCAACGTCTTATTTCACTAAATTCTAATTTAACAAATTTTTATTTATTATTACTTTTTTCAGTTTCTAGTTATTTCATTGTGAATTTCACCTTTTCTTTAATGGAAGGGGACGAATAAATGATGACGACTGCAGCTACTTGCTGCTGTATTAATGTTCAGAATCATACATTTGAAGCAGAGGCAGCTGATATTCACCAAAAAATAGCAACCTTTAGCTAACAGCGTCGGTAAACATTTGTGCTACCAGAAGCTTCAGTTTGTCATTTTAAATAGAAATCAGAAGGAAGAAATTCCACCAGGCGAAGCAAGAAACGAGCGTTGATGCGACGATACAAAAGCAGCGTGTCGGTCTCATGTCGGGACGTACGGGTTGAAACGACCATTTTAAGCGGTGGTTCACTGTCTTTTTGTCGTGCACAGCGCTTAGGGGAATTACAATATGTGTTATTTAGGCAGCAGAGATCCCCGGAGCCCAGCGCCAAGGAAGTCACCAAAGTGCTCGCTCTCTCTCTCTCTCTCTCTC